CACACACACACACACACACACACACACACACACACACACACACACACCAGTTCTCTGTGATAACATGAACGGCACACACACACACACAGCTGCAGCACACAGTGCAACACACACACACACACACACACACGGCTGGTAACAAGAAGAAGCAAAGTGCCACGGTCTTACACTACTCACTGTCTCGGGTTATCTTTGGTTTTTGACAGTTTGATCACAAAGATGTCTGAGCTGCAGCTGCAGGTTGCTGTGGGGGACATGCAGACTTCACATAACATTGCTGACACGTACCTTTCTCTGGCGGTGTGTCTTCATTCGCCGTGCACCTGAGCCCTTTCCCTCCGTGGACTGAGAGGGGATGAAAGAAAGTCAGCATTAGAGGATGGCAACCAAGTATTATTTTATACAACAGGAGAAGAGCATGTATACACATTTTTTAAAAACTACAAGGTGTTATAGCTGATTGTATAAATAGCTGGACAACTATGGTGTCCATGCGACATTTAAATGTATCTATCGCTCATGTTTTCTGCTCATCTAAAATCCATCTGTGGGCATTTAGAGTGATACTGTGTAGAACTACTACCAGTATTTGCTGGTATAGCTACTGTAATTCAGATGAAGTCCGTACCCTGAGCGCTCTGTGAGAGGACAAACTTCCTGATGAGCTTGTCTGTGGCCTGGGTGTACAGAGATAAGGCGTAGCGCAGAGACTGCAGGTCTGGACTCTTTTCCAAGAACGTCTTCTTCAGGCCCACACCGCCGGCATGGAAGTATTGCTGCGAAACAGATATGATGAATTGTAGATGCGTAGGCGGCAAGTGAACAGGCAGAAAGACAGACGGGGGTTAGGACACAGAGAGCTCGAAGTGGGCGATATAGAAATGTGACAAAACAGTTTTGCAGTGTCAGCCCTGGAGCAAAGGCAGAGTGACTATCTCCTCCAAACCTACACTAATTTACACCAAACATGATGTTTATGATGTTGAAAGTTACATGTTTTGATTAGAAATTGTTTATGTTTCATTGATATATATCTGAATATATATTACATTCAATTTGTAGGGTTGTCATCCCATTTCCTTGATCCTGAACCCACACATACACAGACTGTCTGTTCTTTTGATATTATTTATGTTAAGAAACAGAGACCAAACTAAATATTGTAAAACTAAAACACAAGAGCACCAATTTCCCAGCTGTTCTGTTTGTGTGACACAGCATACGATACCTTAATAGTGTCCAGCGCCAGCTCTATCACTGCACACTGTTTAGGACTCAGAGCTTTGGCCTCCTCTCGGCCCATGTGCTCCTGCAGGATGGATCAAACGAAGGAGTCAGTCTATGAAACGGTTCCCTTTAAAATGTGGTCTATATTTTTGGTTAATTCGTTTTGTTTGCCGCTTTTCTATTTTCATCACCTTGAGCTTGGAGAGCTGCCCCAGCTCCTTAGCGGCGTTGAAGATCATTTGAGTGCCCTGTCATGGAAAGCCAGACAAGTGAGTGGAGAGGGGAGAGAAACAAAAGGGTGGCGTTTGAGAGCTGTGTAGTTTAGTGAGATGTGAGTTCAGTGAGGACAGAATGCAGCATACACAAGAAAAGAGTTTGAAGAGTGAGGGGAAGAGAGTCAAATTGCAAATTCTATACTAATCTATAAATATTCTAAATAAACATTCAGAACACACAAGCTATATCTTGGGAGAGAAAGAAGGTTTTACTGCTTTGGTGTACGGTCAGTTAGTATTGCGATGTTGCCTCTGGTGCTACGTGCTGCCTTCTAAATCAGGTTTGATGCACAGGTATCCACAGAGAAGGAGAAAGAATTGTAAAACAAAACAACAGAGGCTACAGAGGGTGGTGTTCAGGCTCCTGGTAAAAAGTGTTTCTTCATGCAGACAGATTCTGCAAATACACACACGCACGCACACGCACGCAGGCACACGCACACACGCTCACATACTTACAATAACCTAAGAAAGGAAGGAAGGGAGAGAGAATGGGGTAATGTCAGGATAGATGGGTTAATGTACACAATGGACCAAATCAATGAAAGGCACTGAAATTCAAAAGCACAGAAGAATGAAAAGATGACGAAAATAGGAGTGAATGTCTTTCTTTTCCACATACCGTCTGGTCAGTGAGCGTTGGAAGCACAATCGTTTTTTCCATCGTATTCATCACTAGTTTCCACAGCTCCTTCAGCACTCTCTTCAGGACGGTCTTCTCACAGATCTTAGCGAACAACGACAGGCTGAAACAAAAACACAACCTTTCAACTGACATGAAGGCAGCACTGAAACCCATACTTTCATTTATTTGTGTGTGTGTGCTTGTTGAGGCCATGTTAATATTCATAAAGGTCCTAACAATGTATAACTCACTTGTTAGACTTCGTATGAAGTTTTTTAATACCATACGATACTTGAGTATGAGTATCTAAACACAACTTTTTTTTTCCCAGTTGCTTAGTTTGAGGAAAATCAAAATTTCTTCCTAAAAATAATTTATTCCTCCAAAAAAATATTGAATGTTGCCTTAGTAAAAGCAGCCTTTCAAGAAGTGTCATTTAAAAACGGTAAAATCATGATCTTGATCAAAGACAGACTCACCAAGACTAAGAATCACACCAAACATTTAATGCCAACTTCTATTGTTATTCAACAGTATTGATGTTCAATATCCAGTCACACTTACTTGCTGTCCAGGAAGTCCATGATGGGCTGCAGGACGTTGTCGGCCTCCTGAACCACGCTGCCGTTGGCCGGGACGGTCTGACCTTTGACCTGGGCCAGGATGTCTCCCATCTGCCTCACGTTGTCCTCGATCTGTGGCTGGAAACTGAATCGCCGCACAAAAAGAACAACATGCAAACAGACTTTGAAATCAGCAGGAGAAAGCGATTCCAACACGTCTTAGTTCCACACGGGAGTCAAACAGACACACCCACCTGACAGCAAAGATGCGGCTGAGGTCGTCCATAACGCTGTTGAGTTTGTTCTGCAGCTCCTTGAGGAAGTCACTGGCCTCCAGGTTTAGCTGGAAGAAGACAAATAGGATGAATAGAAGAACCGTGTTCTTATAGCACAATCACAACAGCAGCATGTATGGAAACTCACGTCTTTGCCTCCCATGGCCTCAAACATCTTCTCCAGCTGAACTCTGAGCTGCTGGATGTTATTGATGATGATACATGGCTGAGGGGAGAAAAAGAAAAATCGTTACACACTTCTCACTCCCTTTCCTCTGTCTGCTCCCGGTGTTTCATTGTAATCAATCAAGGTTAGTCCTCCTAACTTTTTTTTATTGCTTCTTTGGCAAAAGAACTCTTTGTGATGCAGGTCAGGAGAAGCAAGAGTTTTCAGTAATTACTGCTCCTCGAGGGGGGCTCCTGGTCTCTCTGGGAGAGCAGCCCACTTTCCCCAGAGCGTACACCACATTCAGCTAATTACACAGCCCTGATTCACTTTGAAACACTGCAACCCGGCCACGGCTACAACAGTGAGGCGCGGTTTATTCTGCGAAAATTAATCAAGCTGTCCACGTACACCAATGCTCTTGATGGAGCTCAAATCAAACCATTAATTCAATCACTGCCGTTTATTCCGCTGACTGAAATTTCCATCTGGTACCTTGTTGCTCCAACATTTATACACACTTTTATGTCTTCTACTTTAAAACATTGTTAACACCTACCACTTTCTCCTTCTTGACATGATTTGGAAAGTCCTTTGCAATGATGTCAGCGTAAGACAGCAGGACATTTCCAATGGTCTAAGAGAAAGAAATAAAATAATGGAATAAGTGCACACTTGCAGTGAGAATCATATTGGGTTAAGAGTGACTACTCAGGTAAAAGCATCAGCAGGTGGAAGTCACCTTGGCAAATCTCTTCATGTAGTTGCCAACGATCTGAGGGTCGGGACACTCCAGTTTGCGGATGATTTCAAAACTCTGATTGAGCTGAGAGAACACGTCTACCACTGAGCAGGAGAACAAAGCGTGCTCCGATGTAACCTGGAACTGCAGAAGGAGAAGAAAAGAGGGGAAAGTGTGAACGTGTGATGCTGCAGCACAGTAATCCCAGTGAGGAGCTGGATTCCCCCGTGGTAGATGTTCACACTGCTGTTACACTTCATTGACAGTGAAACCGAGCCCCCTTTTTCTACTGAACGTGACTGTGATCAGGAGATGTGTGAGGCGGTTCCTCTGAAAGCCTTTGGATGAGATAGATGGAGGTAATCAGAGAGTTATGACGAGTAGCAGGACCTTCATTAACAGCTCGGCCCATTAGTGAATAGTGTCATATTATGTGACTGGGCTTGGGGGCCGCTGTTTTTGCTGACACGGGGATGCAGAAGCTGGCTCTGGCGACAGTAATTGGACCCAGAGGAGTCCTGACATATGAGCCGGGGGAATCTTCAGCTGCTTTGAATCGACCTTCTTGCTGTGGATATGTAGGCGCGAGTGAGACTGGGTATGTATGGTATGTGTGCATACATCGACTTACGCCGGCGCATTCGCACTCCTCCGCATTGAAGGTTTTTTAAATTTGCCTTTGGTGTTGAGTAATTATTGATTGCCTCGAGGCCTTGAGGCCTTCAACCTGCTCTTCCCAGCCCCTCGAATGTGCCGAGTCAGGAGAAATGCCGTGAGCTGCCTGAATTTGCATGATAAATGCGTGAATACATTTTATGAGAGGGAAATGCTGCAGGTAGGGGGTCAGATTTAAGCTTTCATAGTGTATTTTATTACCGTCTCAGCAGAATTGGATTGTTGAATTTTAGTCAAACTTTAGTCTCACATGACTGCCTCTTCCTTTCAAAACTCTTTTCTCCACATTTTCCCTGCACACTTTGCTGTGGAAAGCTGACATTGTTTATTAAACGAACGGTTAGACATTTTGAGAAATATGCTTGTTTTCTTTTTTTCTGTAATTACACGAGAAGATACCACTGTTGTGTCTGTGCAGTAAATATGAAGCTTCGACCTGCACAAAGACTTAAAACAGTCTACAGGAAGCCACTGCAGCCTACTACGAAATAGTCAGTCACCACCAGTAAAATCAGTAAAACCAGTGTTTTACACTTTTCGTGTATGTATTCAACAAACAAGGGATGACATGTAAATTAGTGAGCTTTAGAGGTGCTGGGAGGTAGATTTTGTTACTTTCGTTCAGAGCCAGGCTGGATGTTTCCCCTCGTCTTAATGCTAAGCTAAATTAGCCAGCTGTTGATGGTAGTTTCATACTTTACAGATGTTTGAGTGGTATCAATCTTCTCATCTTGGATCAAAAAGGAAATAAATGTATTTCCAAGAATATTAAAAGTAGTCCTATAGATAAGAAATGAGGGCAGGAAAACAACTCAAACCGGGCATTTGAAAACGTGGAGTTGTTGGGTGTAGTCTCGTCTTTAGAGGTTGTGTTTTAGTGTTTTACAGCACTTGCAGAAATGCTAGCAGCAGACTTTGGCTTCTTTTGTGACAACACCTGTTAGTGTGCTAGTAGGCTAGCATTTTACTAATGAAGGATTTAGATGAATGCAGTTACCCCGTCTTTTTTGTCCCTCTCCAAGGCTCCATGCAGAAAATCTCTGGACACTTCTTCATTCTCGTCCAACCACATGACGACAAATGGTTCAAACCAGCTGCAGGACAAGGAAGGAGCAGAGACAACATGAGTCTCTGTGCCAAAGAGGTTGCCGTAGAAGGAAAAGTGTGGATGCGGTTTATAAGAGACTTACGCAGGATACTCAGGTACGTGCTTCTGGAAAGTGGACAGCTCCTTGACGTACTCATTGTAGAGCCACTTCACCTTGAAGTGCAAGTTCATGTAATCTGCGCTTTTACACAGGCGGTTCTTCTCATGCTCTGAAATATCAAAGAGAAACGAAGAATGAGGAAAGTCACATTTCCTCCCTCTTTGTCCTTATATACAGTAGTTTACACATAAAACACACACTCATCAACAAACTAATGACTCCTCTTATTTCTCGGCCTGTGATCTCCCTCCCCAGCCCAACAACACACAAACACCTACCCTCCATGGCGTATTTCATATCTTGTGCAAACATGTTCCACATGACTTCAGCGCTGATCCTGCCCACGTTCAGTTCCTGGGGAAACCTGTAAGAGGCAGTACTCGGTCTTAAATCCAGCTCTGCATCCAGTAATGGTAATCTATTATTTAACAAGATGACCCAGCCTCATTTCTATGTAACTCCATCAGTGTGTTTTTTTTAGCATTTCTATATTAACAAGACACAGTTGTCATCATTGTCACCCAAAACAAAGCCAATGAGTTCCTTTAAATTAATAATCATGAATATTAAATTAATGGTTTTTAAAAACAAAGAGCATCAAGAGAAACAGGCAAAGCAGTAAAAATAAATACCTAGCTACACACTCCTCTCTTTATATTCTATTGCTTTGCCTTCTTTTCTCTAAACTAATACCATACAGCTTAGTTCTTCCTAGACTGGCCTTGAAGTGCCTCTGCATGCATAATTTAAAGGAATTAGGCCGATGTTATGAGTAAAGACTCACTGATTAAGGCAATGAGTGTAGGAGTTTTTGTCCTCTTCTATGATGGAGACGATGAGGGTGATAAGTTTGGACCAGAAGTCCAGGTTCTTGGTGCTGGGGCCCTGCTCATCTGGAGGGACTGCCTTTGACTGGAGACAAAAAGAAGTTATGGATTCATATCGTAACAGCTCATTTCTTTGCAGTGAGAGCCCAGTATCGGCACTAAAGAGCAGGAATACTGCAATGTCATCAATTACAAACACACGTATACAATACTTTTGCTTCATACACACACACACACACGCACACACACACACAGATACTTACAGGGTCTGTCTGATATTCCCTGTTGTAGAGGTCGTGGCAGTTGTTAAAAATGTACTCGTAGGTGGAGTTAAGACAGGCTTTCACACAGTCCTTCACCACCTGGCTCGCCCTGGGGGGACTCTGCAACTCCTGAACCTGAACACAAATGTTACACAACAATAATTTGAATCAAATTCACCTCAAAGAGCTGTCAGACACACAGTCTCAGAGGTTGTCTTAGCGGGAATTTAACCATAAACTCAATGAGCTGCACAAATCCCACCGAAAGACATGAACACCCTGACACACACACTCACACAGAGTTATATGATCATAGCTCATGTTAGGATAGGGTAATGTTATGCTGATTCTCGTTTCATGCCTCAGGCTACTTTCCAGAAAGCACTAGAAATTTGTACCATTTTAGTTTTTAAGTGCTATTGTGAAAAGAAAAGAAAAGTCTTTAAGTCATCCATACCTTCATCCGAAAGAATGTGATGCTTGTCAAGAGATCAACTGTAGACTTGAGGTCTTGTAGTCTTTCAGGACTGCTGGCAGGGAAATTATTCTGAAAGCACATTCACAAACAAACAAAGCAACAATTATAAACGGCACAAAATGTTCACCCAAGTTTAAGAGGTTTCTTTTTCTTCAAGTAGTAATATGATACACACAACAGTGACCATATCAAAACAACATCATTTTCATTTCATCCCAAACACAGAACAGACATTCCTATACATGTGGTGGACAGCAGCAGTAAGTAACTTAGAATCAAAGTGTTTTGCATTTGTCGTGACAGAAGCAGTCAGTACCCGGTACATGGACAGGTCAATCCTCAGCGAGTTGTGCAGCTGATCCAACAGTTTGACAAACCTCTCCTTCTGAACAGGAAGAGACACAAAACAGAAGAAATACCACATTATTTGTCACAATTTAACTACACACACCCCAGGCAGGAACTGACGAGGCTCAGCTGATTGGACGTTTGGAGAAGTAGGCGGGGCCACATTAAAGTGACTTTCATCTACAGCCCGAGGGACCAACAGCTAGTCATTTCTTAGGAGTTTTTTAAAAGCAATATTCTGAAGTATAGCATCTTTCAGTTTGAATATGGGGCTTCTTGTAGAATACAGTCACATATATGAAGAAGGGACTCACGCCAAAGTTTGATGCAGCAAATCTGTCCGAGGCAGAAACATTGTTGGAGGACTGGGTGGTGTGGGCGTAGTAAGCATTGATGTTGGCAAGCAGGGTGCTCATCACAGCCGGCACTCCCGGGCACATGTACTTAGATGACAAGCAGGCAAAGTGGCTGTGGGGTGGAAGTGGCAAAAAGAACATTTAGTGCATTTACTGTATGCACTAATCTCATGTATTAGAAGAATAAACTATATGTATTCATAATATCCCTGTTTAAGAACAAGTGGAATAAAACCAACGCTTCTAACTCAGGATAATCTTATTTCACGTTCTAAGGTAAGCATGCAGAGTAATGGCTGAGGGACTGACGTCATGGCCTGGTAGATGGACTCTACTCCATATCTCATGGCAAACTCATCCACTATCTCCTGAGGAGTCTCCTCAAAATACACCTTCCAGGCATCGTCCCCTTTGGCATCAGGGATCTTTACTACGCCGCCATTCTGCTCCTCAGTGGTGTACTGGAACAGATGCTGAAGAAAGAAAAAAACAAAAATAGCATCTCAAATACATCTAACCAGAAAGATAAAGGCACGGTCATACAGATCCCTTAAAGAGGCCTTAGATCTAGTGTAAGCGTTGACGCTTGGATAACCAGAAGCCTTAATGACACCAACCGAGTGAGCTTGAGGTAACTCAAAGAAACTTATTCATGTGTTTATTTGTGCAAAGCCTTTTATGTGATTAGAAGACTTTTGAATGATCTGTTTGTCTAATCTAAAATACATATCCAGCTGGTGTGAGGAGACAAGAAGGGGGAATATACATTTGGTTCAGGTAAACTGAGAGAAGCTGATTGAATTTTTAATGGTGAAGAAATGTAAAACAACACAACAAACATCCACTACTTTTTTTCTCCGATACAGAACAATGTTGAAAACAATGTCAAACTAACCAACTAATCAAACCTTGATTTTGACTTTCAAGTTTGAACACAGCTGATTGCCAAAGCAGTTTCTCAGCTCCTCACTAATTTCAGGATTGTCCCTCATCCCCTTCTTATAATCCTGCAGTGTAACAAGATTATATATGAAACTGTGAAATAGTCTATTGGACTTCATGAGAGTCTCATAGGAAAAACTGTCTCCGTGCCCGTCCATTATCCAGGAAGTCCATACACCCCTATATTGGTGAAAACGGCGCAATAATTCCAAACAATTAAACTTTAAATGTTACAACAAACCTGATGTTGGCGATTTAATTTAAAGAAAAAAAAAAGATTCCCCAGGTTATAAAGGCAGAAACACAGAATTCACAAGGTGATTGATTGTGTTATTGTGAAACTGGAACTAATTACCTGACAACAACATTTAGAAGATTTCCACCAGATGTCCACTGACCTCATGTAAACAGGTGTACTGGACATTAGACTGACCTCATGTAAACAGGTGTACTGGACATGGTAAGGAGCAACCGTCTCCTCTCCTTTGATCTCCACACTTATGTGCATCCGGATGGCTCCTGACACAGCAGACTTATCAGTTCTCTTGTCTGTCAAAAGAAAGTGAGAGATGCTTTCTTAGTTGACTGAAATCTGTTGTATCTACAAGAGAGAAGCATTAAATGATCGGTTTGTTGTTCTGTTATCTCTGTGTGACTTGCTGCTCGTCTTTGCTCTTATCTTAAAACTCACCCAGGTTGTACCAAACGTCCATCTCCCCACTCAGAGTCCGGACTTCGATGATGGTTTGGCCCAGGAAGTCATCGCTCTCACGTTTGAACCTCTGTTTCACGCGGGACTTGATGTCGTCATCCTCGTCCCACACGCGGACCTTGATACGGTCCGACGAGTTGTGGCATTCACTGAATAAGGCAGAGACAGAAAGGTCAACGACTGTGATACAGAGGAACAAATCATAATGTGGAGGAAACAAGGGAAATTAGACTCATCTCTGAGTACCGCATGCTTGTCTGGTGATTCAAAAAAAATTAAAATAGAGTGTCTTAAATATTTTTTCTGAGATATAAAACTAAGTTAGAGCCGTACACCATCCAATATAGTGTCATAAAATGAAATATCAGCTTTTCTTTTTGAAATGGTCTACTGTACTCACAAGTGAAAGTTTTCTTCCCAGACAGGGTTGAGGTTTCCATAGATGGTCTTGGTTCTCTTCTTGGTCTTTCCGACTTGAACAGTTACATAAGGGTCACTGGAGCCAGTTTTGTCTTTCGCCTGCAGGCCTTGAGCACAAACCACTGAGGAAGAGACATTAAGACATTTAAACAATTACCCGCACAGATGTCTGACTATTATTTATATTGTATCATACTTTTTTTTTTTTACATCAACAATAACAAAAGAAAACAACAACCATGATATCTAATATCAGAAACAGCATGTAAATTATATTTCTAAAACCCAAAATAACCAATCACAAATTTGCCTCAGTGGACAACATATGCCACCCTTAACTCACCGGTGATGCTGATCTTCGCTGACCATTTGGAGGTCCCATCAAGCACGCTCTGCTTGATTTGTTTCATTTGCGTGCCATGCGTTGTTTTGTCGAGGGCGAACACTTCCAGGATTAGTTCAAAGATTTCTGGTTTGTTCCTCTCTCGGATTTTCATGCGGTCTTTCAGGACCATGATGATGTTCTGGGTTCGATCCTCTGCCCCGTGCTTGGAGCTCTTCTCTGCAGCTCCTGATGAGATGGATGAATGAAGAGAGGGTTGTAGGAAGTTTATACTGTAAAATATATTCAAGGCAATATGGCGCATGGGCTAGCAGCTTATCTCCTGTTTCCCTGCAACCCAAGATAGCATCAAATCAATTTAGAAAATCGTTGACATTTCTTGGCCAGGAATCAAACCCCAAACATTCCAATATTATGGCGGAAACTGTATCCACAGATAATCAGAGAGTAAAATACCAACAGATGCTGTCAAGATCTTATGAGACTCTTTGGAGACAGCAGAGTGAGTAATTATGCATTGCATAGATTGACTCCAAAATCAGTATGGGAATTGGATAAGTCACCCCTTGTGGAGCTGAATTAGTCAAAGCAGTACGAATGCAAAGGCTATGGGGAGAAACGAGAGGAGAGGCAGGGGTATGACAGACAGCACATTACTCAAGAGATAAAATAGAACGGAAGAGGGAGGAGAACGTGAGAGTGGATGGAGGACAAGAATAATGGGATGTCAATCGGACAGAAGGATTCAGAGGAGGTGCTAACATAGTTTTAGGGTTTGTGTGGAGGGATGAGTATGTGTATGCCAAAGTAAAAATATGAATTTGTTTAAAAGTGTGTTTTTGCGCAGGTGTGCAAAAATGTGTGCGTGAGTCGATCCTGCGATCCTTACGCTGCAGGCAGTCGGCATTGAGCAGATCTTGGCACTTATCGTGGCATTTGACGCCGCACTCAGAGCAACGCATGCCTTGTCGGGCGATACCCCAAAGCAGCCCCTCGCATTCGTAGCAGTAGGTGGGCGTGGTGGCCGTCCACACCTCAAAGTTGTGTGGAGTAGTGGAGGAGATCGGGTAGATCAGAGCCTGCAGGGTCTTTTTATAGACATGACTTTTCTGCAAAAAAGGGCATGGAGGAGATAAATGTGAGTTTGACACCAGCAGTGATGAAAGGTTGGAGAATCCTGAACAGATTTGTGTAGGAGTGAGATGAGGAAACCCACCAGCTCTTCATTGCCGAGAGTGGTGGAAGCCATGGCGGAGGTGATTCCAGCCTTGCGAGAGCTCTGCACTAGAGACTGGGGACAAGAGGGCAAACGGAACAAAACAGTTTATGTTTGAATGTGAACTACGCAGTGGACTTCATATTTTTGTTTTGATTTATCCATGAATACATTCGTAAGGGACGAACAAGCACTCACCATCAGCTGATGAGTCCAGGCAGTGATGGAACAGAGGAACAAAGAAACAATATGTGAGGACTTTCAAACAACGAGCTGTACAAATATTTATGATGCATTGTGTGTGTATGTGTGAGCCACTATGCATCTGAAAGGTATGCCCTAAACTCCAGAGAACATTTTAACTACATTGACTAATTACTGTAATTATATTAACACCACAGATATGCAAGATGAGTAACCTTTATGAGTATAATCACTTTGGATTACAGAAAAAAGGGAATGCTGGGAAGTAAAGAAGAAACATGTTTAGCTGTTTTCAACCAGCTATGACTGTAAAGCATCAGACAGGAATAGAGATCATTGTTTTAGACTAAACTGAGACTTAGTGAAACCGATAATGTTTGCAACAAGAATGATTTCAGGGCACCTCCCGATATTGGTGAACACTATTGCTTGTGTGTGTGTCCGTGTTTGTTCCTCACCAGATCTCTGATTGGAGGAATGGCTTTCCTCTTGCGAAGGTCAGGCATGCTGTCAATACTGTACAGTGCACCTCCCACCCTGAATGAGAAAGGAATGAACAATTATACATTCCTATAAATATGTTCAGCAATATTTACAGCAGATTTAACGATCATCAAAATGTCTTACTATGAAATTGTGTATAGTTACTATGGGGCAGATGTAATTCCCTCCATCATTGTTCCTAACGCTGCTGGAGAGTTTAATTATGCAGACTGCATCGTCTCAAATAGTGGGAATGACACTCCACAGGCCTGGGTATAATTGCTGAGTTTTTATTTTTGCTAACTTAGCACTTATTTAGTATGCAGCCTGAGTTCCACTCTGAGGTCTGCCTCATCTATAAATGACCTGCCAGCGAAGTCGGGGCAGCCCACAGCATTTAATACTCACTGGCCAAATGCCATGAGCGGAATGAGCCTGAACGGAGGATTCCCGGACTAAAGAAGGGCATTTTCAATCCAAAGCAGCGGTGGCAGATTTCCACAATGAGCTGAGGATCATTTTAGTTGAGGTTATGGAGTTATTGCATTAACTAATACACTGTGTGATTTATAATTTGTTCCATGCAAGAGAAGACACTCACCCTCCTTTACCAAACCACAGCGAGCTGGAGGTCTCTCCTCGAGCCTGAGAGAGACGGAGAAGAAATGTCAGACTAAGAAACAAGCAACCGTAAGTTCATCCCTGCAGCCTCTTCAAGCATTCATATACTGTATGAATAAGCTGCATCAGTAGAGTTTAATTATCCGATTATGAAACAGCAATATTTGGCTTTTAAATTTGGATCTCATCTGTTTTTTAATCAGTTGTCGTAAGTGGGCTGGGTCAGTAAAAACTCTGATATTATGCTGTTGCTCTAGAATCTCTGAGATTCCTCTCACACTTTGTAAAACTGGGAAATAAACCTGCCAAGACTTGATCCATAGGCACGCACAACTGGGAACTCAATAGGAACCAATACATGTCACCTTTAGTCACGTCATTAGAGAATACAGGTTTTGCTAAAAAAGTGCTTTGCCTAAACTTTGAAATGAAATATGTCTTTGGAGAATGGGATGCAGTGTGGCTTATAATCAGACTGGATGACAGCTCTTGATAGAACAGAAAAGATCAAATTGTTGTGAAGATGAGTGAGCATAGTGAAGTTGCCCGTTTACACACAGTGAGAAGTTCAACAAGACATCTTTGCTTTGTGCCTTTCCTTCTTTCTCTCTCTCAAGCATCTGATCAGGTTGTACCTACCTGTCAGCATGCTCCAATGACGGCCGAGCAAAGTGCATGCGAGTGTCACTATGGCAATGACATGAAACTGAAAAGCAAACAAAGTGGGGTTTCGGCACAAACAAAATAAATAATAAGACAAACAAAAAGGGAGCCAAATGTACAAAAAACGCAACGTGACATACATCAACATAAACATCAAAGCAAGTGATTAATTCTCTGCATAACTGAATTCAAAGGTAATGAATAGCAACATAATATGTGAATAAAATATGTAAAAACTGATCAAGCAAAATGTAATGTGTAAAACTATATCAAGCAGTTTTGTCAGGGAGTGGCGTGGTGCTGCACCTCAACTCAAATAAAAAGTGCGCCGTCTGTCGAGCCATCGGTACAGCGGTCATAAAATCTGAAACACGTCAAGTCTGCTTTCTGCTGTCCAGCAAAAAACAAGATCAAAATAGAACTCAAAACGTACTGGATGTACCCGGTCTTTCATATGAATAATGCACTGCACATTCATATTTCAAAAACTTTGCAGACACTTTTAGAGTCTCTTGAACTCCGGTATATCTTCTAAATAACAGGGTGGAACTGAATCAGGCCTGCAGCGCTGGGATTCAGAGTGGACTGTTTGGAATGAGAGGGTGGAGTTCAAACCAGGGGTCTTACCTCCCGAAGCTGTTCTAGGACTTTATTGTAGAGCCTTAGCCAGTTCTCTTTGGCTCTGACTGTTGGATCCACTGGCTCTTTGGGCTCCTCTATGACTGGAGGACTAAAACAAAAACAGTTTGACTTTTAGCAAAAATGTCTTCAGCGGATGAATTTATATGATTGGTGGTAATCGTGTTGTTGCTCTTCTAGCCTATTTTTGTTGTTGAATTTATTGATCTGATTCCATTCAACCTTCTCCCCTACCTTTCAGGCAGCATCTCGTCTTCCTCTAGTGGTGTCGACGGCCTGCTCTCTTCGGAATGCTCCTCTTTCTCCTCCATGGGGGACGCCTCCTCTGGCTGAGCGGGGGGCGTCCTGGCCTCTTTTTCCAACATCATTTCCTCCTCTAACCATGGCTCTTCCTCCAGCTGGAGAGCCTGGTCCTCAGGGGCAGCCGGCTGTGCGGTGGTGGCAGCACCATTGAGATGGGATTGAGGCTGCCCAGGGGACTGGGTCTGTTGGGAGGAAGGGCCCACGGCAGTCGAGGGGGGCTGGGAGGCCGAGTTAGCCGCATTGGCAGGGTGGGATGGAGGGACAACACTGGCTGCAGCAGACTGGTGTTGTTGAGATACGGCGGAGGCTGGAGGGTGAGACTGGGCAGGCTGCCCGGTGGGAACAGAAGACAAGAAAGTAGAGGCCAAGCCTGTGACGGCAGCAGTTAGAGGTTTGGCCATTGAGAAGAAGGAAGTGGCAGATGGGGCTGGCTGTGGCTGCGGCTGTGGTTGGGGCTGTTTAGGTGGTTGGGCTGTTGGTTGACCAGAGGGGGGCTGTGCTGACGGGGCCACGCCAGGTGGATGAGACTGGTTGGATGTTTGGTTGGGGGGTTGAGTAGGGTGCTGCTGTTGGTGTAAAGATGGCTGTTTCTCCAGAGGAGGTCTGGAGCTGGGTACATCCAGAGTTGGGGGGGCTGTTGACGTTGGGGTCGGGGTAAACGGAGGCTCCATGTCCTCACTGAGGGTCCCATCCAAGTTGTACAAATCCTCCTCTTCATAAATCATCTCCTCATCCTCATAGAGGCCCTCCTCTTCTCCCTCATACAGTCCTCCGTCCTCCTCGTACAGAGCCGCCTCCTCTCCTCCGTCTTTGCTGTAGCCACCCTCATCGCTGTACGCCCCCTGGGTCTCATCAGGGTCCCAGTCTGGAGAGCCTTTACTGCAGCTGACCGAGGAGTGGCAGGAGTGGTAAGAGTCGTTCTCGTCGTAAGGGTCTCTCTCTCCATACTCGACACCGTAGTCCTCCTCGCTCAGCTGACTGCTGCACCGACTCAGCTCTGCAGACGATGCATAGCTCCCCGACGGACTGAAGGGAGGAGAAACGAAGAGAAAACAGAAACAGAGTTAGGGTGCAAGACCACAACATGCCCAGAAGAGGGTAATTATTAAAGTACTTATGAGGGATAGTGTTTTTTAATGAACGTAGAGGCACTTTCATTCAGGTCATTCTTGCATGTATACATGTACACATGAAATAAATGGTTTACCCTCATTTTATGAACCATAATCTCAAAAAATGCTTACAGAGCAATTTATTAGAGCACTCAATGGCCTCTACACTTTACACTCTTTTGGACAGCCTTACTAAAAACCTTTTCTACATGTCTTTGGGTGGCCAGGAATAATGTTGACGGCTAATCGATGAAAAGCACTGGGGATACAAGAGTACCAGACAAGCACAGAGAAATAGAGCAGAACAGAAAGGTGAGGGGCCTCCAGAAAGCTGACAAAAGAAAAAGAACAAGCATCCAGAAATGTAACAAACAGGGGGAAAGTATTTATAGTCCTTGATGAATGAGGATATTAAAAACAGAATAGAGGCACAGAGAGGAAGGAGGGTGGTTGGGGGTACAGAGGGAGATAATGAAGACAAGAAGGGAGTGGTGAGCACAGAGACAAAATAGAAGGAGAGAGCACAGGGAGGGAGGGAGGGAGGGAGTGTAGAGAGCTGAGAGGAAAGAGAGGAATAAGAATGGGCAGGGATGAGAGGAGGTTACTCTGTCCAATACACTCACACAAGCAGCTAATCTTATGTGCAGTATTGACCATTAGATTGCCAGTTGAATAATTCATAAAGCAAGAGGTGAAGGGATGCATAGTTTCAATCCCAGTCTGTGAGAAATATGTCAATACGAGCTGAGAAATTAAACAGTATTGTAAACACCTGCGAAAGCGAAATAGCATTTGGTCTGTAGGACCCAATGAAGGACTGGCACACACACACACACACACACACACACACACACACACACACACACAC